AGAGAGAGAGAGAGAGAGAGAGAGAGCGAAAGAGCGAGAGCGAGAGAGAAATTTCATATAACTGGAACGTGCTTGTTATTTATGCGGAAAAGGAAGGAGGGGGTGTGTGCATTTGGCCTGCAAAAATCGATTTCTCCCGCGAGCCTATTATATACGGTGTATTTGAGTGAAAAGTATTGGAAATAATTATTCGAATGAAATAAATGGTGTTCGAAAGAATTGTTTTATGGTTATTATAGGGAAACGTGAAATATTTATTATTGAAAATGGTGCTAAAGTGAGTTTATTAATTGGAATAATTGTTTAAAATTTTTATAGAGCTATCTGTAAATAAATTTTTTCCTCATCGACAAAACGATCTGTATATTAATTGTCATTCATAAATCGCAGAATTAAAACGAAAAAAGATATACTTCGGATTTTTCGTTTCTCTCGAATAGTTAAAAAAAAAACACGCGACACACTTTAAATAAATATACTTAGGCATTATAAGGTTGGTAATTCTGGCTCGGTGTCAATCGCATCGAGGATATTCTACGTACACATCGAAACGATGAAATCATCTGTGAAAAACGTATTTCCAGCGATCCGAAATTACCGATTTCGCTTCTCCCGTTTGAACGAGTAGACAAGGCCTCTAGAGCCGATAGAGAATAAGCAGGAACACGGTATAATGGAAATGATGGAATATTTAGATTGGCATGATGCATTATGCGCTATGAAATATTTATGCCGGAATTATGAAACATATTACGTGTCTGTAAGGATAAACAGTGTGACTCTTGAGATCGCTATTATGATAACGCGACAATGGCGAGTTACGATGTATCATCTGTCAACAGTCGAACGTTATCTACCGGTATCTGTAATAACGATCAAATGTCATTTTTATGNTTAGTGAGAATAATTCTAGGATATTATTTATCACTAGAGATCTGATTGAAATATCCTAGAAATGTATTTAATGGTATCGTGATGGTATCAAATGTCACTTTTATGTACTCTTTATTTATGAGACAAGATCATTTCTTTTTATACTAGTAGATTAATTGAAAATGTACATATATATATATATAATAGTGTACTATATTTACATAATAATAATTTCTAAGTACTTTCAGGAATTA